AGCTATGCCCGGCCGGGCCCCATGAGGGGAGGCCCGGTCACCAGGCGCTCGCTTTCGAGCCCCAATCCCGGGCCTGGCTCCAGGGTGGCGCCCCGGCTGCGCCATGCCGGGTGACGTCACGGTCCTTGATTTTAATTTATTCATAAAGGGCTTTTGAACTGCTCTTAGTCTGACCCGTCACCCAGGACCTGTTTGCCTTGGGAGACCCTACCAGGGACATATAGCCCCCAACAACATAGCTCCTAGGATCACTCGGGTACTCAAACCTCTCCACCACAATAAGGTGGTGGTTCAAAGAGGGGAAACTGCAAAGCTTGGGATAAAAATACATTCACTGGTGGGCTTTCTTACACACAGCATGCACTTTCAGTTCAAGGTCAATTATGACTGCATGGTTAGAGAGAACTGTACAAAATCCAGTGCTCACCAACTGTATCTAGCAACCCGGGGGTGCTGCACAGCAGAACAGACTGGTCATCTGTTGTTGACCAGTAAATGTTCCAGCATACCTCCCACAAAACCACAAATGGCCATTTGTATTTTTCTGTTTATGTACAGAGTAAATAAATCAGAGACGTCCAATCCAACTTTGAAGCTAGAGCCAGGAGAAGGTTGGCTTACTGTACTTGAGCATAAAGACTGGAAAAAGGGCAAACACATAGCCTGGCCCTGTCCAAAGGGAAAACATCAGCCTGCCAGAATCTTGCTTGTTGAATTCACGTACAAACAGAAGTTAAAGAAAAATTACAGGGGGTTATGTGTTGGATTATTCCTTCTTTGTTCACACTGTCATCCTGGAGTCTTAGTTTCATAGTGAGGTTTCCAGACAATGATTTTTGTATAAAGGAGATATATATAATGCGTTAATCAGTGAGCTTTAGAGGTGGTCCTAACCTGATTTAGTTTTTAACCTTTGGGGATACCCAGGCTATCTGTTTCCCCTCTAGTCTAGTCTAGTCTTTATACTAAGCTAGACCTCCTAAACCTCCTTTTCCCATGACATAATCGTGTTTGCTTAATATAGTTATTTCTTAAAATAAGGGAACAAGTTAGCAAGCAGGAGGCACATCAAAGACTTGTAAATGAGTGCTCATGTCTCCGCTTTGGCTGATAATATCTCCTACTTTCCCCACTGCAGCCTGCCGAGAGTCCTCCAAGCTGAGCCCATGGCTACAGAGAGCAAATTGAGATTTCTAACTCTTAGCATCACCATTCTCAGAGACAGACTGTTATCCTTTGGCATTTCCACCTGAGCAGATTTACTTCACCATGTGACCTTTTGTCTGTGAATATTTAGAAGGGTTATTTATCTATGACTGTGTCTAATGGTGAGTAAAAAGCCTTGGAATCTAATGGTGTCTCCTGTCTGGAGTAGAAAAGGTGGAAGCTGGTTTAAAGGCCAAGATAAATTCTCCCTTGATTTGTATACATTAATATTGCTTCTAAAAGCCCGTATTAGAGGGTAATGTAATATTTTCTCCTAATGTGCATTTTATATCAGTTGTATATAATGGTGTGTCACACTTTTGTTTTTTTCTTCAGAAGATATTTCCTGCATTTCTATCTTTTTAAAATAAAGTAACCACTTGTTGGAATAAAGTACAGGCATATGGGAAGTTTCATTGGGAAAGTGGCTTTCAATAAAAATCTGGGCAGGTTGTTTATTGAAACAAATGCTCAGAATGTCTCTCTCTTAATAACCTCCTACTCTAATGGCTAAGAATAGTGAAGATTAACCAGAAATCAATCTTTTATTGAGTGCTTTAGCTCGACATAGAGTAATAGCACCTTCAATTAGACTTTGAAGACTTTTTTTTGTCTTCTTCTTGTATACCATTAAGCCTAATCACTGTTTGCTGGCTAATTTGATGATAGGCTAATGGCATGGAAGTGTGCATGCTTACACAGCTAGTTTGAATCAACACCTAGAAACCTGTTCTGTTTTAATCATCATTGCAAATATTGTGCATTTGGGCTGGTGCACAGAAGGAGGGAAGGGGAGAAATTAGCTGTGGAAAGAAAAACAAAAAGAATTAAATGAGAAAAAAATGTCATACACAGGCTTTTAATAAAATAAAGTAAAAGAATAAAAAGACAGGAAATGTTAATAGTCCTATTTAAAAGCAGTGGCATCTTCTGGCTCATGTTCCAGCTGTGTCTGGGAACAACAAGAAAATTGACTGTGGCAGAGGGAGATTAGCCTCAGTGTTCGTCCCCGAGCCAGAGGAGAGCAGCCAGCTGTAGCCAGAGCAGGGTCACTCTCCATCTCTGAGACCCAGCAGCCAGGACCTTTCCTCCTGCTTTCCCTTTCACCTCTCCTCTCCTTCTGCCTGCTCCTAGCGTCCCCTCTCTCTCCTCTCTGCACGCTTGACTCTCTGCATCTCTTTCTATCTTGGGGTTTTCTAGCTGACCTGAAATCCCCTCACATCCCATCACAATGTGTCTCTGGAGGTGCCATTAGGGGTCATGCATGGCCTGGGCTGTTGTCACACCAATTGTTGGTATAATAACACATCTACCTTTCCGAGTCTGGGGAGGTGGGACTGTCTCTGTCCTGCTGACTGTGTAAAGCTGGCATTTGGGCCAGAGGTTCTGCTGATGTTATTGTGACTATCAGTATAGTGGAATGTGATGATTAAGATAACATGGAGTCACCACTTCCCTCCACTATACAAAAATTAAGCCAAAATATTGAGACTACTGCCACTGCTGTCTTACATTTTTGCAACCACATTCTGTGCAGTAGCGACGAGAAATGGAGTGACAGCATCAGACCGCCAATCGAATTTGTCAGATCAACTGAAATACACCCCTTATTATATCATAAAATAACCTATTAAAAACAAACTTACCAGAAAAAAATGAATGACCTATGGGAAAAATGTATGTGATTTGTAGTATGAGTTTTTAGTTTGGCTCATGTTCCATCTACTAACATGGAGGAGGAGGGATTTATGACCTAAACTGCAACCAGCTGCCCCAGCGTGACGGCTTCACTTCTGGGAGCGGTCCATATTTTATACAGTCAATGCCAAAAACTGAACAATAATGTTAATAGTTAGAATGCAAAAACCATGGGTAAAGGTATAGAATAGAGTCTATCTTTATACAGTCTTTATATGACTTTGAGCAGAACGAGCTCCAGTCTTTCATAACATACTTCAGCTGCGCCTACATGTAAGATCAGACGCACACATTTATAGTAAGTAGCTTGGAGGATTTAAGATCAAGACCTGCTTGATAAGAACCATGTTGTAATCATTTGGTCAGAGGATTATGAGAAGCAATAACTCAAAGCTGGCCTTCGATCAAACGTGGATGGAGGTCTGTCCTTGGTGCTGTGATAAACAAACATCACCCCTGTGTCTTGTAGGTCTCTCACTCTTCCTCAGGATGGTGATTTGATATTGATTAGGTTTCATGAGAGCCCACCGCTTATCCAGCTTATTGTACCATAGGAAGGTACAGAGTTTTGTCCTCCCTTGAGTCTCATGGCCCTATGCGAGCTATATTATCTGCTGTTATGAGTTCACAGCAGCCTGCGCCCTGAATGTAGAATGGGGCTTATGACTCCGCCGTCACATTGTGTGCTTTCTGATAAAGCTATTACTTCTCTTGGCCCTGCAGACTGAGGCAAAACTTATCCATTCCTTTATTCTTATGCATGTGTCTTTTTCCTACTTCTCTCGTTGTCTCACTTTTTGTTTTGGGTCAGCAGATGTGCAACAATGTGAAGACAGGCTTGTTTATAATTAATGCACCTGTCACTGTAAGGGAACAAGAGCAGTAGAATCCACACAGCCCTCAATGTTTTTTGGAAAATTGCTCTTATACTTCAACGTTTGAGAGCATTAGGTTAGTCATGAGTGTATGCTTCTGCTGCTTGGGTTATGAATTAAATCTATTCATCACGTATTCATGTTCACTTCACTTTTGCAGGTTCTGATTGAGGCAACAGTTTCCAGGGAGCGGCGAGGCTACATTGCTATAGATGACATCATGGTGCTCAACTATCCGTGCTGTAAGTGCCACTTCTGACAATGAGTTGCAATTACACAAGGTGCTGGGGGTAAAAAAAAAAAAAAAAGGTTTAGTGGTTTTTTTTGGCTGAAAAGTGTATTTGAAAGCAAGATGAGGAGAAGAGTAATGGCTGATCGACCTTTTTTATTAGTTCTGCAGGTTGTCCTGAGGCGTCCTGTGACAACAGCAGTGCTATTAAAACACTGTGACACCAAAACGCCAACACTCCCCTCCACCTGAAAACACACCTGCCTTTCTCCCTGCGGCCTTGTTTGACAGCCAAATTTATGGGTTAATCAGTGAAATCTTGAATTCGCTCTCTGAAGACTAATACACTTTCATGTTCAGGCCTGACGGAAAGTGCGATGGAGCTTGTTTTTTGGTCATAAGTCACTTTGTACAGGCTGGGGTTTTCCCACCAAACATTACATTTCAAAGCTTTATGAAGATGCCTTTCATTCATGACGGGATTTTTTTTTTCTAGCCAGTGGCTCCCTGCAGCGAAGGGGTTTTTGTGGCAGGGGTAAAAAAATGTGGGGGGG